GACATGTGTTTCGACTGCATTACCTCTGATCGGGGTCCACAGTTCGTGGCAGCATTCTGGAGGGAATTCTGCAAGCTCCTCGGGATAACGGTCAGTTTAAGTTCTGGTTTCCATCCTCAGACCAACGGGCAAGTGGAGCGGTTTAATCAGGACTTGGAGACCACCCTACGAGCTATGTGCTCTAAGAACCCCCCGACCTGGTCCTCACAGCTCCCTTGGGCAGAATATTCCCATAATTCTCTTGTGAACTCTACCGGTTTCTCCCCTTTTCAGGCTGCCTATGGTTATCAGCCCCCACTTTTCCCCCATCAGGAGAGGTCTGCATCGGCCTCCGGCCCCGCCGCGTTTGTACGACGCTGTCGGCGCACTTGGGTGGATTACCGCTCTCGTCTGGTCCAGAATCAGGAACGGTTCACCGCAGTGGCGAACCGTCGGAGATCAGCCGCACCCGACTACAAGGTGGGAGACAAGGTTTGGCTTGCCTCGACAGATGTGCCATTGAAAGGGGGTTTGAGAAAGCTCCTTCCTCGGTACATCGGCCCCTATTCAGTGTCCAGGGTCATCAACCCGGTGGCGGTCAGGTTGGACCTTCCTCGCTCCCTGCGGATCCACCCTGTTTTCCACGTGAGCAAGCTTAAGCCCTTTGTGACTAGCCCCTTGCATCCGCCCCCTGCGGCTCCGCCTGCTCCTCGCCTTGTGGAAGGTGGCCCGGTCTTCAAGGTGAACAAGCTCCTGGCCTCTCGGAGGGTGGGTCGGGGCATCCAGTACCTGGTGGATTGGGAGGGTTACGGCCCGGCGGACCGCCAGTGGGTCCCCGAACGCCACGTCCTGTGCCGTGACCTGATCACCCGTTTTCACCGGGACAACCCTGATCAGCCTCGTCGTCCGTCTGGAAGCCGGACCTTGTGAGGGGGGTTATGTTATGGGTTACTCCTCCTGATTGTTGTAATACGTGTTTTTCTTTCTCTGTGTAGGTTGGCTGTGGCTCTTCCTGCTGTTCCTGCCCCTCTTTGGAGCATCGGGGAATGCCGCAGCTGACTGCAATTTCCTGATTGCCACACCATGTATTTAAGCAGCTGCTTCCTGTGCATGGTGTGGCGTTGTTGTGAAGAGTTTCTGGTGTTTAGAGCATAGCTTTGTTTCGAGTCTGTGGTAGTTTTGTTTTGCATTACCCGTGAAGTCCTTTTCCCACTTATGTGGTGACTTTTTGTTATTAAAAGTAATCAGTATCGGATCTGGTCATCCAGTCTCCTGCATTTGGGTTTATTCCTGTGTACCCTCGCGTGACAGATAAAGGTATGTACGCTCTCATGATGCATGTTTTCCATTTTTTGAACCAGTTAACTGGGATTTTAACGGTTAAATTCGGTCAACTAATTGCTAACAGAGCTAATGGGGCTGAAATATTAAAAAGAATATTTAAATGGTTCGAAAAAATTCCTGAATCGTGTTTTACTGATTCAAACTAGGATTTGTTAAATGCTCGCTGCAGCCTGTGGCCTGCCTGAACAACAACAAACACATGTTGATCATGTTCACATAATAATAAATAAAACAACTGTACAAGCAGAAGAAAACTGCCCACTCACCACTAACTATCCTGTTTATTTATTGCAGATGGCTGCACTGAATATTTTTTACATGATTTGTTCTGTAAAATGTGGCATTTTTGGTAGTCTACAGTTTTTTTTATGTCAGTTTAAATTACAATTTCAGAGGCAATTGTAAAATATTATGGATCATGATAAAGATCTATTGGAGATCTACCCCAACTTTTGGACTGCTCTGCCAGTCACTGAGGCTCAAGCTGAGAGGAGCTTTTCAAAACTTGATCAAGTCATACCTGAGGTCACCTATGTTTCAGGGGCGGCTCACTAACCTGGCTCTGATTAGTATCAATCAGGCACGCAGATAGGGTGGGGGATGGGGGGATCTGTCCCCCCCCAGATTCAGATCGACCCCGATCCATCCCCCCCCAACCAAGGCCAGAAAGAAAACAAAATCGGAGGTTTAGCTCTTGAAGCTCCTTTTTCCAATTACCAAGAATGCAGCATGACGTAAACAAACATCGACTCCAGAGGCGCCAAAGTGGTTGCTGCTAGGATGCAGCATGAAGCGAAAAAGGCAACGATTACTGCGTATTTAAAAAAGACCAACAGTGTAAGCAGGCGGGACCGATCTGTCTGTTTATGCATGTTGGTTCTAGTTTCAGTACGTTGTTGTCATGTTGGGACTTACTCGTTATAAGCGCCAAAGGCTCTTTGTTGACTTTAACAAGTCTCATCTACAAATATGATCCCTCATGAAGTTACTACTTTACACCAGAAGATAGAGGAGATGTGGAACCTTCAGGCTGAGCAAAGTTTGGGAGTTTTTAGAGTTTGAAAATCGCCTCCCGCTGAGAGACTCCCAGTCGGGTAGAGGAGGAGACGCGCGTAGCATGAAGAGAGCAGATATTCGATAAAACGTATAATTGCTGGCAGCTCTGGTCTTTGTTGACTGATCACTTTGTCTGGTCGTGACTGACTCTGATTATGAAGCAGAATATTGACTCTGATGAAGAAATTCACTCATCCAGCCGGAAAGGTTGATGCTGCTGCAGCATCAGACAGCTGGTGCTGCACGAGAGGTGTGTGGAGTTTACAAGCTCCAAACGTTGGGTTTGATGTTGGTTTAAGCTTCTCTGGGACGTGGTGGATGTAGAAATGATGGGAAAACACCGCTAACGTGACAGACGTAGCGACAATGTAAAAAAAAAAGCCGAAAAAAGAGGCAGATGCCGATGCGTTAGGTATGGAAGTCAAGTGTGCCACATAATCATAAAAAAGGTAAAATATAAAATTTTAAAAGAGATTTATATATTTATATATAAATGAAAACTTTCCAAATATAATGAAAATGTATAAATAAGGTAAAAATACGAAGGAACATCTGTTGGTCAGGCTGAAAAGTTTGGGAACCACTGCTCTAAGTGATAAGTGAATACTGTTTCTTATTATATTTTATGTGCAGGTTTTTTAGGGCTTTTATGTTTTCTGTAAAGATCGGTACGCTGAAAATCATTTCATGTTTTGCATAAAGCATGACGTTTTGGTTAGTACATGATTGGGAGAATAACAAATGACTGAATTAAATAGTGGGGCGACTCTGTCAGTGCGCCCCAGGGCAGCTGTGGCTACATCGTAGCTCATCACCACCAGTGTGTGAATGTGTGTGAATTGATGAATAATACACTGTAGTGTAAAGCGCTTTGGAGTCCTTACTCTGAGAGGCGCTATCGTGGACGTAATTTTTGGGGGGGGACAGGGGGGACATGTCCCCCCCACTTTTTCCAAAGTCAATTTTTGACCCCTGCACTTTTTACCATCCAAAAACAATATTACGCTATATTAAATTGACACTGGTTCAGCTCTAGGACCAAGTAGAAAACAACCGTTTGTGTTGAAGCCTGTTTCCCATTAGAGCAGTGGTTCCCAACCTTTTCCCAAGGTACCCCCTTTTTTACCAGTAAAATTTTGACGACCCCCTCCCATTCTCTCTTCCAGTACAAACAGTATTATAAAATTGTTCAAGCACATTTTAATATGCCTTGATTCAATAGATAACAGTAATAGTAGGCTCCAGTACAGAACAAAGTCATTAACAAAACCAAACAGAGCATAATGTGCTTGACAGTTTGTATTACTTTTCTGAACACATCGTTTCTTATAAACACTGATAAATCAATCATTCCTTTCAATAAATGTTTGACACATAAAAAATACACTGAGCAAAATGTACTTAAATGTGTATATTACTGTTTATACTAGATTATTTACTGTAAAGGCTGTGATTAATCAACCAGTCCTATCTTTAATGAACTTTTGACACTTGAAAATAAAACAGTGAGCTGACCAAAATGTTCTTAAAAGTGTGTTACTTTTTCTGTACTAATTATTTCCTGTCTTGATATCAGTAAACTTTTCACTCATGAAAAAAATGTGAGCAAAATGTAGGCTATAAACAAGTAATAAATGAAGTTTTAACCCCTTAAAGTGGAGAGGTCCGGGCGACCCACTGAGAGGATTCGGCGCCCCCTTGTGGGGGTCGGGACCCCCAGGTTAGGAACCACTGCATTAGAGCATACTGTAAAGATACAACCCCCCCCCCCCCCCCCCCCCAAAGTGAAAATTACGTCCATGGGCGCTATACAAGTGTGGATCATTTATCATTTATAGTGTTGATCAGGCAGAGATTTGTTGCATAATGGTTTCCAACACGCATATAAAAGTGTTAGTTTTTACGTAAACCATTGGAGGAAATTACACAAACTGACTGAGCTCTAGTTAAGGCGCTTGCAATAGTTTGTGTATGTGTACGTGCGTGTGTGTGTGTGTGTGTGTGTGTGTGTGTGTGTGTGTGTGTGTGTGTGCATGTGTTTGGGGGAGGGTACATTGGAACTTTGTCCCCCCCATTTTGAAAATCCTATGTGCGCCCCTGGTATCTCAGTAGGGGAGCAGATTTCATATGGTGACATTATTGATGACTTTGCATCAAGGTTAGGTTTTAATTTTAGTTTGTGTTTTCTGTTCTAAATGCAATGCTGTAGTGATTATCTTTAGTTTGTAATGTGTGAAACATTTTTGCTATTTAGAATATTTATTATATATTATGTTCATATATTCTTAATATTTAGTTATTGTTTGTTTTTGTATATTTGATTCTATATATTTTGATACAGTATATAATGTATATTGCTTTACATTCTGACAACTTCATAGTAATTAATGTAAATATGTGCAACTTAGAAAAATGAATGTTCAACAGTCGTTCTAATAAAACATGCCTGTTTGTAGAAAACATGCGTGTGTTTGTGCAGGTGGGGTGGTGTGGTGGTGGGGTGGGGGGGCTCTTAGGGGGCCTCGCCCGGGGAGTAATTCCATGTAAAACCGCCACTGCCTATATAGTTGTCATCATCAACGTAACATGATTTACAGAATACGTGTGACCAAATAACATTTCATGTTCTACCACCGGATGTTTGGATCAAAATATGAACCAATCAGATCTTAGATCAGGTGAGAGCCAGGCGTTTCCCGTCATCCCCTAGGTTTTGCAGCCGAGGGAGAGCAACTGCAGCGCCTTGCTCCAAAATCTGCGGCCGCCTTGATCTCACGTGGTTATCGTTGCCTACGTATGCATGACGTCAAAGCAAGTCGGCGTCAAGTGAGTCGGACACAAATCTAACCGGCATGCACTGTGCACCGATCACCGCTGATCTAATCTGCGCAGAACTGGCTCATCTCGAACACAGCCTATGAAATGACCAATCGTAGGGGAGCCCTTCCAGCCAATCAGCAGCGAGAAAGGCGGCATTCTATTAGGACATCATTTTTGGGACCAATCAGCACCCGCGCTTTGTGTAGACCAATGACGTATTACGCCTGAAAGGTGCTCGTGGATCGCGGAAATGATGTGACAAGCTCAGGTAAACTGCTCTAGATATTTAAAAACAACCGTGAAACGACGTAATTTCCAGGGAAAAGTAAGATAAAAAAAAGCGTTGTAGCATTATAGGTTGTAATTGCTACGTTACACGTGTGTTAAGTCGTGTTTTTGAAACAATCATTTATTTAATCGTGTTCACCGTCAGCTAACTAGAAGAACAACATTGTTGTTGAAACTTGATCCTGGTTGTAGTTATCGTGTTTTTGTGACTGAATCGTCAATTGTGTTAGCTTAGAGGCTAAGTAATAATAACAAACGGACAGCTGAAGAGACAAATGAGTTACAGCTTTTGTCTGACATGACCGGAGTTCAGGCAGCTCCGCTCGTTTTGCTTTTTAACAAAGACAACCATGTTAGGTTGTCGGTGATATTACAATGTCTCCCCTGGGACGCACACTTCCAGCTAATGATTGTGTCAGAGGTCACAATACGATATTCATTTGTTTTAAAGTTAAACTGAGATTGTTATTTTCGTTTGGTGCTCATGATAACGGTTGTTGATCCAAATGAACGAGTCACCCCCTCACGTGTGTTTTCGTTTGCTTGGTCACAGTAAAATGTTTGATTATCCAGTTCAACATGGCTGTTTGTGTAAATGCTACAAAATCTCTTAACTGTGATTAACTCTCATGGCAGTAACATCTTCAGTCACACCAGTCTCATCACCATGGAGGTTGTTTCGCTCCTCTTTACAGAACAGTTTTATTTCAGCCACGTTGGATGGTTTATAGTGTGAACAGCCAATTTAACGCCAGCATCGTAATATTTAGGTCCAAGCTCTGACCAGGCCACCACAAACCCATAAAATGATCCACCAGAGGTGGGCTGGCAGTTACGCTTCAGATCATGGATCTGCTGCATAATGAGCCTGACCTCAAGATGACAACGTGTTGGTCAGGAGAACAACGGACCTTTTTAGTAGAGTAGAGACATGGTCGCATCAGTTATGACAAGTTGTCCTGGTCCTGGCCACACCATCACACCTCCACCACCATGTCTGACTGTTGACATTCCTTCTTATTGTCAGACCACAATGTGTTTCTTTTCAGTAACTTATCCTGCTTCATGTTGTCAGGCAGGTTCTGTTCAGGTGAATTTTTAATTCTGCAGGTCTGGTCATGATCAGCTCTGGGTGTGGCTGCTGGATCTGAACTCAGATACAGTGTGTGGTGTTTACCAGTGATCTCTGGAAATATCAATTGAAATGTTGTTTAAATTAATCAAATGGTGCCCAGTTGTTGAAAAACAATGGCACCTTTGTTACATAGAACCATAATGGTCTGAAATACATGGGAGCGGGTCTAAGTCTCTGACTGACGCTATATTAGTTTCCTTCTGTGGTAGTCTGCTTGGACAATAAACATTTCTACGCGGTTACAAGACTTCTGCCGTTCATGAACGTTGTTTTGCACATTCACCTCTTCACTTGTTGCCAGTGATGAAAGAGTCTGATGTGCTTGTCATTTTCCTGGAGGTTGATGGAGGACTAGAAAATTGCACTCCCAGGGTTTTTTTTTTTTACCTTAATGGCCATCCATCGGTAAGGTCTTACTCAAACACAAAAGTACCGTCTGCTTGCGTTGATGTAGGCGCAGGGTCCGAAATTAAATTTTTTACTCACCGGCCAAGTTGGCCGGTAGATGATGAAAATCTACCGGCCAAGCATATTTTTTACCGGCCAAAATTATAAATGAATTAGATCTACCTAAAGCATGTTATTCTATATTATGTTGATTCCAAGCAGAGTGACAAAATAATTAAAACATCAGTTAATAAGAAAAACAACTCTTTTGTCGTTTTTACTATTTATTTATTTATTTATTAGAGATGTTTTTATGAACTCTTTCATTGAAATCTAGTCAGACTCCTTGTTTTCTCTGTCCATGAAGTCTGGCCTCCTGCTTCTGACACCGTCTTTGTGCCGAAGCATTACAGCCTCATTTGGGTCCTAGTCCTCGATCTCTGGAGAACACAGCTGCACCATGAGAATATCTGAAAGTGTGTCAGGGCTAGGGTTGTCATGGTAACCGGTGTAGCGGTAAACCCCGGTAAAAAAGTTGACAATAATAATAACCGTCTTGTTTTTTTTTTAATCTATTATCTCGGTGGATTACCGTGGTCGCGGTGTAGGCGTGGTGACCCTTACCAGCCACCGTATCATCTGCTGGAAGTTGCCGGCGGCACATGCGCACTTTTTTGTTTACGACCAAAACTTTCTTTAAGCTAAAGCTGAAATAATGGCCAGAGGAGACGGCAGCACTCGGGACATTTATTATCCCTCAAAGAAGACAAAGTCGGAAGTATGGGCATTTTTTGGATATTTGAAGAATGCCGAGGGACAGTTGTCTGTGAAAGGCAGCAACGCTACGTGGCCATCATAATGTAACCAGTGTCTCACGACTCCGCCACCTCCAGTTCGCCACTTTTCGCAAAATCTTCTGGTTGCCACTGGTCCTGGTGGTTTTTCTTCCAGTTCGACGAGTTTTCTTTTGGAAGGCTGGCTGACTCCAGTTAAAAACCGCCACATTTCACCGCTAGTTTTAACACGAAGCTAACTGCTAACTTGATAAACTGATTGAATGGGATAGGTGGAAATGACGTTGGATGCGGCGCTCACGTTTCGCGTACGTTTGTGTACGTTGCATGCAGGCGGGAGGAGTATCAGAAATCCATGGAAGATGACTGATAAGCATAACTAATTTGGTGCAAATATTTACTCGCCATGTGGCAGGTAGAGCTCAAAAATTTACTCGCATTTGGCGAGTGGCGAGTGTTAATTTCGGACCCTGTGTAGGCGTGTACTGCTCCCTATCGCCACAGAAAATACACACTGTGACTTTAACCACAGTTCATTCATTATTTAACAACAACTGCATTAGCTTTTTTCCCACAGGCCAGTTAGGTTTGGTGAACTGTTTGTCTTGATAAAATAAATAAGTTAAAAACTGTTTTTTATTTACTCAGGTTATTTTTATCCGATATTGAACTTTGTTGCCTGTTCTGATAGACAAAGACAAATAACGGACTTGTCAGATGCTTTTGCACAGAGCTGTATTCCTACACACAGTAATGGTTTGTGTTGTTTTCTTGCACCTATGATCCGCCACGTGTACTCCGTACTCTATTGCCGCTGTTGTTGCATTGTTAACATGCCTGTCTACACGTCTGACTTAGGGCTGGACGATAATTCAATAGTTCAATATATCCATGGATAGATATGTGGTGCCATACGACAAAAACGGGTCGACAAAACTCCGAGAACAAAAAAAGTTTCCTTTTTTCATTCTAACCTATCAGGTAGCAGCAAACTAGACTCCCTACTTACTCCTAACCAATCAAAACCACAGACTCGGCACGCTACGTCACCAGGCCCTCCCCTCTCAAACCAAAACAGAGCGTGAGGCAGCCAGATGTCTCAGCGAGAAATAGGGCTGCATGTAAAATATTTTTTCTACAATTTAGAAAATGTTTTCAATAATTATCTATCGATCGAAATAAAAATGTATCGTCCAGCCCTACTCTGACACGACTTCCATTTCAGGCTGCAGCTGTGGTTTTCAGCAGCTGACTCTGAATGCACACAGACTCACTCACTCTCTTTCACGTTTCTTGTGTTTCTGGCTGATGAACAGATTGCCGCTCAGATGAAGAGGTCTCGCCCGGTCGACTCAGCGTGTCACCCTTCGTTGCCATGGCACTGCTCTATTTCCCCACATTCCTCTTTCTCATTTTTCTTTCTTGTTTAGCCCTCTTACTTCTCACCGTTTTGCCCTCTGCTTCTCCATCATTTCCCTTCACACCTTCCTCCCACTCCTCCCCTTGGCTGTCACCTTCCTGTGGTGCAGGTCAGTCCTGGGCTGTCCAGATCCATGATCACTCAGATCAAGAAGAGGAAGATGGGGGACAGAGTTCTGTGAGCCTGGACATGATGGCAGACAAGGTACAAAACACATCAATAATTCAACAAACTAATATTGTAGTTTTGCTTGTGTAAAGAAGAGATTTCTGCTCGTCCAGATTCATAACTATTCTGTCATTCTGTCAATCACAGGTAGCAAAGCAGGCTGGGCTGCAGAACCAGGGTCAGATTGGAGAGCTGGAGGGCCACTACCTGCTCTGCTCTGTAAGGTCCAGAGCCGAGTCGGTGGGGCGGGTCTGGAAAAGGAGCATCCAACCAGAAGATGTTCTAGCATCCCATCCACATGTCATGTGGTACTCCAAGGAGCAAGTGCTTAGCCGCTCAAAGAGATCCGTGACCTTCAATGACCCCAACTATCCTAAGCAGTGGCATTTGGTGAGAGCATTTAAGATGACTTTGTGTTCTATTTCGTCTAGTCTTAGCCCTTAAGCTAGCTGCTATTGGAAGGATGATCTCCGCATCAGCCAATCATGAAGAGCTAAAATGTACGCCCACCAATAGTGGGCCCCCTCGTGGTATATAACCGCAGTGACCCCACTGCTCACCTCCTTTTTCTCTTCATGCCAAGCTTGAGAGCTTTATTAAAGAGCAAATATTATCCTAAAAGAGCAAATTATCCGAAGACGACTTACCAGCCATGTCCAGCAACGCCAGACCCTGCCCGACCTGCCAGACGGGCTCCATTTCCAGCGGCGACCTGCACGCTAAGTGTGAGGTCTGTCTCGGGGCTCACCACGCTGGCCTGGCCTTGACCCCGCAGGCCTCGTGCCCGTTCTGTGCCGCTCTGCCCGTGGCGGAGAAGATTCGCCGGGTCGAGTACTTCACTCCCGCCGCCGACGAAGAATTTCCGGTCGCTGACTCGTACCCGCTGGACAAGGCTTTGGATTTCTTCGACGCCGGTCAGGAGCCGGCTGGCTTCAACCGGCTGGATGACGTCACCGACAGCGAGAACTACGATGAGGCGGCATCCCTCCTAGACATAACGGAGGTCGACGAGCTTCGCTCAGCGGGTCATTCTGCCCCAGTGGCTTCTCGCTCCTCCCTGCCAGCAGTACGAGCACTGCTCCAGGAGCTGCCCGCCATCATTTCTGCGGCAGCAGCCCGCAAGGGGCTAGCTGTGCCAGATCCGGCCCCGCCTGAAGCGGATGATTTGGCGGGAATTTTCGGGGCGACTCAGACACGCTATCCAGAACCTATCTGGCCGCGCTTCCCTGCTGCTATGAGCTGCTGGTCTGCCACCTTCTCCGAGCCTGCCAAGCTCAAGGCACCAGTCTCCACGTATGCGCCCATCACCAAGTTCGAGGGGTTTTCCGACCAAGCCTGGCCGTCCGTTCCTCCGCTAGAGCCGGACTTGGCCTCGCTGTTCGGCGCCAAGAACCACCTCGCTGACCCGCGAGCTGTTCCCACTTCAAAACATGACCAGCTGCTGACGCGGCTCACCGACCGCGCACATCAGTGTGCCTTTCTGACCGGCGCTGCAGGGAATAACATCGCCCTTCTTGCCTTCGGCGTCTCAAAGATGATGGAGGAGCTGGAAGCTCCCGAGGAGTCGAAAGCCGTCATTACTAAGACTGCTGATGCTATCCTCAATCTGTGTGCTGCTGTGCTCACCGGTTCTGCTCGCATCGCTGCCTGGCAGACCCTCATCCAGCGAGCAATCTGGCTGAAGGCCCTGCCCTCCATTCCGGAACATCTGCAAAGGGAGATGCTAGACGGCCCCATCACCACCGATGTTCTGTTTGGTCCCCATCTTAGGGGCGTCATTGAGCGGGCTCAGAAGACGGCCGAACTATCGGCTACGGTGCGAGACCTGGTCCACCCTCGGTCAGCCTCGCACTCCGGCCGTTCAGCCAGAGGATGGGACGAACGGCGCGGAAGCTTCAGACGTCCAGCTGCACCGCCCGCTCCACGGAGCCGGCCTCCCGCTTCGGCTCCACATCAGCGGGACTAGCGAGATGGCGGACAACGGTTCCGGCGGGGCCAGCAGAGGCAGTCTTGGCAGTCCCAAGTGCAGGAGCCTCGCCGAAAGCAGCCACGGAAGTGACTCTTTGGGGGGAATGTGTGTGTTACTGATTGTTCTGATGTTGTTGTTGGTTTTGAAATAAAACCCAAAAAACGTCACTCAAAGAGCACAATCCTACAGTCCTCCGCAGAATCCTCTGCCGTGTTCTCACACATGTTCCCCACACCAAGCACTGCTGCACGCACACATGTTCCTGCTGGTACAGGCAGTCATAATACACAGCCAGCCGTAAGGGTGCGCTCCATTTGCGCTCCGGCCCCAGCATCCGGCCGGGCCCAACTCTTCCCGCTCTCCCCACACCGTTGGGTGGGGCGGGATGTCAGGTCGCTGTCTCGACCACGCGCGGCGGCACAGTGCGCGGCTCCATCCGCTGGCACTCTGTCGCCCCCGTGCACGGGCCCGGCTCCCACTCGTCCTTCACTCTCGGACTCCACGCTCCGCGGTGTGGACCAGCCTGTTCCAGCTGTTTCGCACTCGCCCTTTCGAGCGCAGCCCTCCATGGGTCGCCCCCAGTTCTCTGGTACGGGCGACGGCGGTAAGGGCGCATGCACAACCCTCGGACGTTGTTCACGTGACCGCGCACACGCGTCCACTGTCGGAACGCGCGCACGAGTGGCGCCGCCTTTGTATCATGAGCAAATGGATTTCGGACACCATTCATTGCTGCGGTCACACACTTCATTTTCAGGCCACTCCACCTCCCTTCAACGGGATCGTGGAGACGACGTTCACATCGCAAGTACAGTCTCAGGCCCTAGAGCTGGAGCTGCGGGAACTTCTGTCCAAGGACGCTATTTCCTGAGTCCCTCGCGGACAAGAACTCTCGGGCTTCTATACTCCCGCTACTTCGTAGTACCGAAGAAGTCGGGAGGAATGAGGCAGATTCTCGACCTGTCCCTGTTCAACTGCTCCATAGCAGTAATGCATTTCCGCATGTTAACGATGAGACAAGTCCTGGAATACGTGCGCCCCGGGGATTGGTTCACGTCAATCGACCTGAAAGACTCATACTTCCACATACCAGTAGTTCCAAACCACCGGAAGTTTCTGCGTTTTTTGTTCAAGGGAGTTCAATATCAGTTCAATCGCCTCCCTTTCGGCTACTCGCTAGCCCCGCGCACCTTCTCCAAATGTCTGGAGACCGCGCTCCAGCCACTGCGCACGGAGGGAATGAGGGTCTTATTTTACATGGACGATCTTCTCCTGTGCGCTCGGTCCAAGGACGAGGCGTCACAGCAAACCAGGAGGTTGACAGAGCATCTGTCAACCCTAGGGTTTTCTATAAACTGGGAGAAGAGCTCCATCCTTCCGTCCCAGTCGATTGTGTATCTCGGGGTGGAGCTGAACGCCTCCCTAATGAGAGCACGTTTGTCGCCTGCAAGAGCGGCAGATCTCTCCACGGTGATCTCCCGTGTACAACCCCGCAAGATCGTGAGAGCCCTGATAGTCATGAAACTCCTGGGCATGATGTCCGCAGCCCACTCGGTGGTACCGCTAGGTTTGCTGCGCACGAGGCGCTTGCAACGCTGGTTCATCCGCCTCCAGGTACACCCAATACGTCAGAAGAGACGTATGTTGAGGATTCCCCCTTCAGTGGGCGGGGACCTCGCTCACTGGGGGAACCCCTGCATCCTCTCACGCGGGGTTCCCATCGGACGTCCTGCGTCACATGTATCTGTGTTTACGGATGCGTCACTGTCGGGGTGGGGGGGCACGTGCTTGTCCCATACGGTGGCAGATCGCTGGCCCTCCCACGCGCACGAGCACATAAATGTGTTGGAGCTTATGACAGTGAGGAATGTGATCAGACACTTCGCTGCCCTTCTCGAGGGCCGTCATGTCGAAGTTCACACAGACAACCAGGTGGCGGCAGCCTACATAAATCGCCAAGGGGGAGTTCGATCCTTCCCACTGTTGCGTGTCGCCACAGATTTACTGTGTTGGACACATGTCCATCTGCTGTCCATCAGAGCCATCTACATTCCGGGGGTACTGAATGTAGCGGCAGACATCCTGTCGAGAGGGGGACCCCGCGACTCCGACTGGCGTCTGCATCCTGCACTGATATCACAGATCTGGATCAGGTTCGGGGAACCGTCTGTGGATCTGTTCGCGGCTCGCGAAAACGCTCAGTGTCGCCTGTGGTTTTCCCTGAGTCCCCGGGACGGACCCCCGCTCGGGGCGGACGCCCTCTCACACCAGCCCTGGCCTCGAACGCTCCTTTATGCGTTTCCACCAGTCCCTCTGATTCCCCGTCTCCTGGACCGAATTCGGTCGGAACAGCTCTCTGTGATTCTGGTGGCTCCCAGACGCTTGTCTGCGTCATGGTTTCCGGACCTGCAAGCGCTAGTTTCCGGCTCCCCGTGGAGGCTCCCGTGGAGGGCGGACGCCCTTCTCCAGGCGGATGGGATAATCAAACATCCTCCGGAAATAGGCCAACGGCTGTGGGTTTGGCCGCTGAGCGGTCACGCTTAGAGGCTTCTGGGCTGCCGCATGATGTGGTCGCCACGATTCAGAGTGCGCGGGCGCCTTCTACCATTGCGTCTTACGCTGCTAAATGGGCAGCTTTCCAGAAATGGTGCACAGAGCGAAATGTTCAAGCGCTCTCCTGCCAGCTGGCGGATGTCCTATCGTTTCTGCAGATACTGATGGACAGGGGCCTCGCATTCAGCACTATTAAAACATATGCTGCAGCTATCTCATCCTGTCATCAGGGTTTCGGAGATAGATCTGTTTTCAATCATCCCCTCACAAAACCTTTTCTAAAAGGTGTCAGAAGGAACAGACCTGTGTCCCGCCCGCTTTTTCCCCAATTGGATCTAACGGTGGTTCTGCGTGGCTTATCTGAAGCCCCGTTTGAGCCCTTGGACCAGGTCTCACTCAAGTTCCTGTCGCTTAAAACTGCATTGCTGCTGGCGCTGGCATCAGTTAAGAGAGTGAGTGACCTGACCACCCTCTCAGTGGCTCCCGCATGCCTCAGGATCCGGGAGGATGGCGGGTCTGCTGTTTTATGCCCCAACCCAGCCTTTGTGCCCAAAAGCATTAATACTTCCTTCAAATCCAGGTCAATTTCATTGGCTGGACTTTTTCCTCCTCCCCATAATTCTGAGGAGGAGGCGGCTTCGCACCTTCTCTGCCCGGTGCGCGCGCTTGCACGATATGTGTCACGCACTTCAGGGATTCGTCGCCCACAAAACCTGTTTGTGCACTACAGGGAGTCTTCCCTTGGTCAGGCGCTGTCGGCCCAGCGCCTTTCACACTGGCTGTATGACGCCATTTCACTCGCTTACACATCATCGGGGCGGGATCCCCCTGAGGCACTCAGGGCTCACTCAGCCAGAGGGATTTCCTCTTCGATGGCGCTCCTCAGTGGTGTGTCAATGGAAGACATTTGTCAGGCTGCTTCATGGGCTTCCCCCTGTTCCTTTACTCGTTATTATTTACGAGATGTGTCTTCAGGTTCCATCACTCGTTCAGTGCTTGGACCCCAGCAGGCTAAATGAATGCTTATGGCACCTCATTGGCCTTGCTGAGATGGATTTCATCCTCTTGTGGATTATGGTTTTTAGTGGGGGCCCCTCTTTTATCGTGGCTGCCTCAGTCTTTAAGCCTGGTCTGAGGCTGAACGTCCCCCACTAGAGGAGATTTGATTGGGTGTGTACATTGGTTGTGTTAACCAGTGGGGCGTAAACCCATCCAGCTGCGCTTTATTCCAATACCAGCTAGCTTAAGGGCTAAGACTAGACAAAATAGAACGTTGGTTACGTATTGTAACCCCAGATTCTATGAGTTTAGTCGCAGCCCTTAAGCCACTGGCCCCACTGGTTATGATGGGAATAAGAGCCATTGGAGGTGAGCAGTGGGGTCACTGCGGTTATATACCACGAGGGGGCCCACTATTGGTGGGCGTACATTTTAGCTCTTCATGATTGGCTGATGCGGAGATCATCCTTCCAATAGCAGCTAGCTTAAGGGCTGCGACTAGACTCATAGAATCTGGGGTTACAATACGTAACCAACGTTCTGGTCTGAGTTAGTGTTTGTGTTGGCATCCAGCTGTCTAAGGACCCATCTAAAACCTGCACAGCCCGTTGTCTTTCCAGGAATACCCGCAGCTCGTTTTACTGTGGTGGCGTTTCTTTCTCCAGGACCAGCTAACGGGTAAACCGAGCCCACAGGCCCAGTTTTTGTATGAAATCCCAATGATTCATTCTGATATCAGCAGGTCACAGCTGTACGAGAATACTTTGTTCTAAAAGAAGAAATACATTGTTGTAGACAGGTAGCGGCTGGGGTCATGTGGTATCTGCACCTGTGGGTGCCACTGGTGCAGATGTGTCTTTTATTGAGCAGGTGATGGGGAAGTCGACCTTTGATGACCTCTCAAACGTGTAACCCCCTTTTGTCCTTTATGATCCATACTTATGGCTTAAACTCGCGTGTTCCTCATTTTTGCCATGATGAGACGTCATGAGCGCTTGTGATTGCCAGCTGTTGTTGCATGGCTTTTAAAGATTTTCAATTAATAAAGGAGCTGAAATCGAATCCTAGACTAAAGTTTGATCAACGGGCGCATCAACATGCTCCCCTAATCAGCGGCTCAAACATGGGGCTGCTTCTCTTGCACATCAACACATGCCTAAAGAAAAACGTGCTCTTGAGGAACAGGAGGAGCAATTGCGGAAAAGAAAAGAACCGCTTCAGTTAGAAGCAGAGATGACTGCAAATGTAGCTAAAGTGAACGTGTTAAAGGCTGGATACACCTTGTAGAAATCCAATGGAATTGCATCATATTTCAAAACAGAAAGAAAAACTTAAGCACCTCTTCATGCAGATGGAGAGACTTTTGTTCCACAGATGCATGCAAACACTCCCAAACTCACCGGAAACACAGAACTTAAAGTGAAAACAGTGCAGCAAATGGAAAGGGGAAAGCCTGTACCCATTCTTATAAGACATCCTGATCCTTTAAGTAGAACAAGTCCACTTTTATCACAACAAGCAGCTCATTAAGTAGCCAATGAAAGCCTGTTGCGGATTATGGAGAAACTAAATGAAATTTACCGGTCGATCTACGTTCCTACCCTCACCTATGCTCACGAGCTTTGGGTAGTGACCGAAAGAACGAGATCACTGATACAAGCGGCCAAAATGAGTTTTCTCTGAAGAGTGGCTGGGCTCTCCCTTAGAGATGGGGTGAGAAGCTCGGTCATTCAGGAGGGGCTCGGAGTAGACCCGCTGCTCCTCCACATCGAGAGGAGCCAGTTGAGGTGGCTCTGGCATCTGGTCAGGATGCCTCCTGGACGCCTCCCTGGTGAGGTTTTCTGGGCACGTCCAACCGGGAGGAGACCTAAAGGTAGACCCAGGACACGGTGGTGGGACTATGTCTCTCACCTGGCCAGGGAACGCCTTGGGATTCCCCTGGAGCAGCTGGCCCAAGTGGCTGGGGAGAGGGAGGTCTGTCTCGCCTTAGGCGGCTGCCTCCGCGACCCGACTCCGGATAAGTGGCTGAAAATAGATGCATGTGTGGAATGTTATATGTTATGTTATCGTTTTAATAATAATATTGGTCATTCATTTTCTGAATGGTGAAGGTTCAAGCCAAAAGTTTGGTTATTCCACTTAAGGCTTACATTTTTAATTGGCCCCAGTAATATCGTACTCCTTGGTAAAATGTGGAGGAAGTTGGATGGTATTAAAAGAAAAATATTTAAACTCAGATTTGAGGAAGAAGTGTCTGATTTAGTGTTTTATGCGGAGTTAAAATTAAAAGTCTAACAAAATGTTGAAATTAAACACATTTGATTTGTAGCATTTACATCTAGCATTACCGCTAAGCTAAATGGTGCTTTTATTTTATAAACCATGATGGCTTCTCTGATTTACCTGAGTGGAATAACCCTATCATATCCATCTAAAAGCTTCTGTCCTGTGGAGCCCCCCCCCCCCCCCCAGCAGTCATGCTAACACTGCTTCTCTTTTCGTAGCACAACCAGGTCAATGCAGGTTTGGATATCAATGTGACGGGAGTGTGGGAGCGCAACATCACTGGCCAGGGCGTCACCGTGGTGGTCGTAGATGATGGTGTGGAACACACCCACAGGGATATTGAGCCCAACTATGTAAGTCAGAGCCGTCTCAATTACACTGTGGGGATTTTAGTTCATTCTTCTCCATGGAAACTACAATAGCTCCCGCTGTTCCCTTTGTGGGAAAATTATGATTGAACTTTTTTCGTTAGCACCACTCTGTTATTTGCTGCTGTGTCACTTCCTGATTAAAGGTGTGGAACACTCATTTAGTCAATACAATTTCATTGTTCTCTACACTCACCTAAAGGATTATTAGCAACACCTGCTCAACTTCTCCTTAATGCAATTATCTAATCAACCAATCACATGACAGTTGCTTCAATGCATTTAGGGGTGTGGTCCTGGTCAAGACCATCTCCTGAACTCCAAACTGAAGGTCAGAATGGGAAAGAAAGCTGATTAAAGCCCCAGTGTGTGATGTTTACCTGTTTACTATAAAATCCTGTGTTTCCGGTTCACAAACGTGTCCTTCTTCACTAATATTTCTCACCAACATCAATTATAAATTTTCCTCTCAACTTGAAATTATACATTTTTAAATACATAAACTGTGGTCGAGGCTCCATGGTCATCCACCATCTTAAAATACAGTAGCTGTTTAGGGACATACGAGCTCCACGTTACCGTTTGGACTACGACTGTAACCTGAAAGAACCAGCAGAGGGCAGCAGTGCGCCCTGGAAGCATGGAGTCTGCTAATTCAACTAAGAAATAAAAAAGAGTAGCTATAACATTGCTGTACTTGTTAGTTTGAATAGAAAACAATTAAATCAAAAGACACATAAAATTTGTCAGTTCGTCATCATGTCCAACACAAGGAAGCTGCATATGTTCAGACCCCTGCCCGCTATTAGCTGGACGCCAGCCTCCGATTAGAGTCTCTGACTCCCAAACTCACCTCAAGTTATTCATCCGTCTTTTCCTAGTACCAGAACTCCCGATCCGGTCCCAACGTGTCCGTTCCAAAGTCCTTCTACTCAAGTCTCCTGTCTTGCCGCAGCCTGCCGTCTCCCAACACGCTCCAGCGCTCGTCCGCTAACCAGTGGCCAATCAGCGTTGGTTACTTTATATCCACAACACTTTACAATCAGCGATGTAGTTCTCCGCGCGTCACTGAGACGCTCCGACACAGAGGGCTTCTTCTGAAACGTTGCGGGCGTTGACCCATCCCCTGGGTGGCCCACTCGTGAGTTTGATTGTATAATCAATTTCCAAGCTGTGTAGCCTAACCCACACAGAGCTAATAAGTACTCTACCACTTAAAAAAGCATTTTTAATTATGACTGTTTATCAACCTACCAGTCCTGAAGGAAGCAAGCAAGTTCTGTTTGAATCTTGAAGCTGTCACGATTCACACACAGGGGGGGGGGGGGGGGGGGGGGGGGGTCAGGTGTTGTGAGAAATTGTGTTCCCCTGGAATATTCTGTCCATTACCATGTACCCATCCTCTGATGGCTACTTCCAGCAGGATAATGCACCATGTCTTAAAGCTCCGATCATTTATAATTGGTTTCTTGAACATGTCTATGAGTTCACTGTACTCCAACGGCCCCCACAATCACCAGATCTCAACCCGATAGAGCATCTTTGGGATGTGGTGGAACGGGAGCTTCGTGCCCTGGATGTGCATTCCACAAATCTCCATCAACTGCAAGATGCTATCCTATCAATATGGGCCAACATTTCTAAAGAATGCTTTCAGCACCTGTGTAGGAGCCAAATTGAATGTTTTTTGTTTATTATTATTATTATTATGGAGGAGGCGTTTTGATTTTTCATCGTGCTGCAGGTGATGGCAGGGTTAGGGTTAGCCCAGGGTTAGCTCCTAGGGTCGCCGACTTATCTGTCAGTTGAACGTCCAACTGCATAGGTGAGCGGTTGTATTGAAAGCTTTTCCGTTGAACGCTGTCGTCATGTTACTTTAAACCATTTAATGTATAACAGAAGCCAATTCATTCCATCTCAACCTATGTATTTTAACCACAAATAAATCAACCCAAAAATAAGAAGAATCAGAATGTTTGTTGGAAGACGCGTCACAGCCAGGCCCACTCACCCACAGCAGCGTTTTTAGTGGAAAGAAGCCGCTACAATTAGTCAACAGGAAAGTTGTTCCATTCATCAAACAACAAGAGGGTTGTGACGAAGGACTGCGCGGGGTGACGGCTTTGTGGATCAGATGATTATCACCCTTTGGAAGGAGTTTGGAAGCGGCCTCACTCAGGTTCTGGAAACAGATCAGCTGATCTGCCGTCACGAATGGAAAGCAGCTCAACACCCCTTCTGAAGCGTTAGGACACTGATTTACTCTGTGTATTGGTTAATCGTTATGAACACAGTTTGAAAGTCACCGCTTGTCCACTGGAGACAGTATTGGGGTGTGACGTGCGTATGCTGGGGAGCAACGGCTGGAGGAAGCTCCTGTGAATCTCGCCTCGTGACGCAGCAGACTGTGCGTATTGGTTTGCGCTGAAGAACAGCTGTTTCCGCCAATCGAAGCCGTCTGTAGACGTTTGATGCATGTGATAAAGCAGCAATGAGTGAAATAAAAGAAATGGAATGTGAACCGGAAGAAAAAAGATCTGCTAAACCCACGGCAAAAGTGCTTGCCTGTAAAATGGAAAGTTTGCAGAAAGAACATCAATTCCATTTGAATAAAATTAAAGCACTAACCCGTGAAATTAAAGCATTAAAGGAGACATAACATGAAAAACCCACTTTTTACAGTGTGTTTCACATTTTAAGTGTCTGAGCAAAAAGGCTTATATTATTCACTAGAGTTGCTATTTACATATTTAATAATTAAGTTTTGGGCATATTTGTCCACCCGTTCAGTTTTTCAAATGATCTAATATGTCTGAAATTTATGTCGTCAAGATGACTCATGGCCCTCTGGCTAGACAGAAAGTAAAGCCGCCATTTTTTTCCCTCGCTAGGACAGTTGTAGTCCAGCGTGAATAATGCCGAAACCACGATTAGATAACGGCAAATGCTCTGTCTATGGATGTATGGATGTACTAATCCACACGAATGTTTACACCGTCCTGCGTCAGAAGTTAGAATTGCCTGGTTAAATTTTATTTTTCATGGTATTGTCCCATCTTCTGTGCGTCAAGTACTTTTTGTTTGCGCAAAGCACTTTAAACACGAGTGCTTCACCAACCTACGGCAGTACAGACAAGGACTTGCCGAAAGGCTTCGACTCATTGAGGGCTCAGTTCCCGCTGAGTTTGGGGATGATGGACACACCAGCAAAGAGGTAAGCTTCATATAACTTATAACTTATAACTGACTGCAAAGTTAATTTACTACTTTCCTTTTGTGAACTCCAGCCATTTTAATAGTCTTAGGGCTTGCCGACTGCTTATGTTAGCACCATGTGGTAGTTAAGCTAGCTAAATGCTATTTTAGCATTTTTAGCTGATGTTTCTCTTGTGCACCAATGTTATGTACTCTAAATTAGAAGTCGATCAAAGTTTTGCATTGTGCGTCCTGTATTAAACGGGGGTAAGGGACTGCTATTTACATCTCATGGACAGCTAAATACGTTGTATTTTTTGCTCGCCCACCGTGAGATTATCACATTGTTTAGCAGCGCTGCGATCTGGCTGCAACCCAAAAGTTCCAGAACCACTAACAGAACGCATGCGTTGACCCGGATTCACCGGTATTTTGGTGTAAATGCGCGTCTGTTATTTTTATTTTCACGCTTTTATCCCAAAACAATGACAAGGATTGTCTAGAAAGCGTATTTTCCATGTGTATATACAATCAAACCGATCCTAAAACTAAGTGTAAACCATTCTTTTATATTCCTTCTGAAATGCACACTAAAAATGGCAATGCAGGGCCTATTAAGAAAACTCTAAAACCTCCTCTATTTCGTGTTTTTAGACAAAAATATCTGACGTGTTGTGTCAAAGATGCTACTTTTAGCATATTTTTCGTGTCCGACGTTTAACTACATCATGTTGTGTGATCAGTAAGGTCAAATCCGAGAACTAGGTCATTCAATGAGAAGACATCACAGGTGAGCTTTGCTCTGCAATGAAGTCATACAGTTTCAGATGTAGCTGAACGCTATGAGTGGCAAAAGTGGCACAGTGCACACGTGACTTCGTTAGATGTAAGATGCATAGCAAAAATAAATTACTATAATTAATAAAAATTGATTGTGTCATTAAACAGTCATCTTATGTACTGTTATTGCACATGTTACAGTGCAATTAAAAATGCACCATTTCATTTCCAGCGCCCAACACCAAGGACACAGAAGCCATCTTTTACTAGTGCAGGCTGTCAGACGAAGCCACAGATGCGTGCAGTTGGAACACAACCTCAAGTCCAGAAGTACCTGAGGCAAGCCTTCCACAGTGTGATTTTGCGTTTGCACCAAAACACTCACACTACCCTTTCCTGGGAATGCTGTGCAGGTAATCAAAAATGTGATAAACTGCTGTACAAAGACAAAACTACCAGGAATGAGACTGTCATTATCATTTCAAATCCAAAACACATCCATAATCACGCCGCTAGATGGCAGCAGAGTGACAATTAATTAATTTTCTTTTTATTCAGAATGCTGTATAAAAAGAAAAATGTCTTTATAAATTATAGACAGGGTATCCGCGGGTCCTTAAAAAGTCTTAAAAAGTCTTAAATTTACTTTTCCAAATTTAAGGCCTTGAAAATCCTTAAAAATGACAAATAATCCTTAAATATAGTTTCCAAAGGTCTTAAATTACCAAAGACCCAATAAACTAGATTATTTTATTTCTATGACATTTTCGTGAATTTCAGCATTTTTTGTGTACGATGTTGGCGTAAGCGGAACCGTACACATTCAGTTGGTTGTGAAAGGGGACTATTTTTAGATGAGCACGTAAGCTGGTTAAGCTAGTGGGAGCTTGCGCCATGGAGAAGTGCAAGTTTAATGGTAACTGGATGGCTAATCCCATGTTCGCGACGTGGTTAGCACCGGTTTCAGGCAATAGCTGTAAATTATAGCTTTAAATTAATTTAAAAAATTG